TCCACCAATTATGGCATTGAATCAAACATGACATACAGGACTTCCATGACCAACAGAAAACACTAGAAGGGTTTAGTGGGAGTTGAGTTTGGGAGTTGTAGTTCACCTACATCCAGAGAGCACTGTAGACTCAAACAATGATGGATCTGGACCAAACTTGGCACAAATACTCCATGTGCCCAAATATGAATGGAGTTTGGGGAAAATAGACCTTGACATTTGGGATTTGTAGTTACTGGGATTTATAGTTCACCTACAATCAAAGAGCGTTCTGAACCGCACCAATGACAACATTGGGGCACATTTCCCACACAGAACTTCCATGACCAAGAGAAAATATTTAAGGACATCCAGTCCAACTCTCTTCACCAGGGCAAGAAAATGTTAGAAACCAACACTTTCTCATTACTTTATTTTCCAGATCACCAGGCTGGGCCACAGCAACGCGTGGCAGGGGGCAGATAGTATATACATACAATAGTAAAGGTAAAGGTTTTCCCTTGGCATTAAGTCCAGTCGTGTCCGACTCTGGGGGTTCGTGCTCATCTCCATTTCTAAGCCAAAGAGCCAGCATTGTCTGTAGACACCTCCAAGGTCATGTGGCCAGCATGACTGCATGGAGGGCTGTTACCTTCCCATCGGAGTGGTACCTATTGATCTGCTCACATTTGCATGCTTTTGAACTGCTAGGTTGGCAGGAGCTGGGACTAACAGTGGAAGCTCACGCCGCTCCCCGGATTCGAACCGGCAACCTTTCGGTCAACAAGTTTAGCAGCTCAGCGGTTTAACCTACTGCGCCACAGGGGTCTCCAACATACAAGGTTAGCAAATATATACATTAACAAACAAATAGTGAAGGATTGCTATTTCCAACAGCATTTCATCCAATGACAGGAATGGAAAGTGGATGATGGGTGGTGCAGTTGGCTTCATAGAAGCAATTGTGGGCATTGCCACCTGGGAGCCTTGGAGTCACCTTTCATTGCAGCCACATTTCACCCTTTGTCCAGCCGCAGCCCTGCACTGCACTGCATGCCCAAAGCCAGACTTATTGTTATTAGACCAATAAAAGCGGGAGAAAAAACCACAGGGTTGGCCCATTTATTCAGTCCTCCGGCATTTTACAACCCCTTGTCTCAACACCTCTGAATCATCCATCATGTCCTCAACGCATTTTATAGCCAGGGAGCAAAGCCTTCGGAACAGCTTGGGCAAAGAAGGGAATTTATGGCCATCGGGTTTTATGGGGCGCCTTATAGGGAACTATTAAGTGGCAGGACGGCCCTGGAGTCATTTGTTTAATATTCAGGCAGAGAAGAAGGCAAAGCCTTGCTTGTTCTGCTGCGTCAGGGATATGGGATATAATGGTGTCTTCTCTCTCTCTCTCTCTGGGTGCATCCAGAGTAAAAGGTTTAGGAAGACAGTCTCAGTTCAGCGTCTGACAATTTTATAGCCCCAGTTTCTATCTCTGGCTCCCCCTTCATTCTCAGTTTACTTCAATGGCTGCAAATGGAGCTCAAAGTACAAATAATATATCCATATATATAGAAATGCTCTGTGCGTTTTGAGTGACATCATAACTCAAAATCCGCTGGACAAATTGTTGCCAATTTTGGTCACAAGACACCTACTAGCCCAAGGAGTGACCATCACTCCTTCCTTCTCTACCCCTTACTTTCCTTCCCCTTTCCTTTCCCTCTTTCTCTCCTTTCTCCCTTCTCTGCCTCTTTCCTTCATTCCTTCGCTCTTTGCTTCCATCCTTCCTTCTTTCCTTCCCTCTTTCTCTTTCTTCCTTCTCTACCTCTTTCCCTTCTTCCTTTGCTTCCCCTTCCTTTCCTTTTTTTTCTTTCCTTCTCTCCTTCCTTCCTTCTCTACCTCTTTCTTCCCATTTTTCTTTTCCTCTTTCTCTCCTTTCTTCCTTCTCTATCTCTTTCCTTCCTTCGTTCTTTCCTTCTCCTCTTCCTTCTTTCCTTTCTTCCTTCTCTCCTTTTCCCTTCTTCCTTCGCTCCCCTTTCCTTCCTTTCCTTTTTTCTTTCCTTCTCTTCTTCCTTCCTCTCTACCCCTTTCTTTTCTTCCCTTTCTTTTCTCTTCTCTCTCCTTTCTTCCTTCTCTTCTTTCTTCCTTTCCTTCCTTCCTTCCTTCCTTCCTTCCTTCCTTCCTTCCTTCCTTCCTTCCTTCCTTCCTTCCTTCCTTCGCTCTTTGCTTCCATGCTTCTTTCTTTCTTTCTCTCCTTCCTTCCTTCCCTCTTCCTTCCTTTTTTTCTGTATCGCCATTTAGCTTTTCGTCATTTAGCTTTTCGGGTTTTTTAAGTCCTTTCCACTGCTTTTTTGCGGGATTTTATGAGTGATGTTCACTTGTTGGTCTGTTAGGTGTGTAGTGTCCGCATTTGGTGTCAATTCGTCCAGTGGGTTTTGAGTTGTGTTAGTCCCACAAACGAACCTTACATTTTTATTTATATAGATGACGATGATGATGATGATTATTATTATCATTATTTCCTTTCCTGACCATAAGAGCAGCAGCAGCCACAATCTCTGTGGGAAACGGGTCGGGTTTCCTGGCCCTCTCTGCTTGCCTTGGTGCCATTCCCCTTCAACGCTGCTATTTCAGGTGTGCCACGTATTGATCGTACAGTGTTTAGAAATAAAGAAAGCTCCTTCAGGTGACCTTCAGGTCCCTAAATAGGAACAGGGCACACAATTACTTGCCCAGCTTTTTTGGATCATAAGGAAGGATTTCACCAGATCCTGTTTGGCAGCTGCTTTGCAAATCCCATGCCAAAAAAGGCTCAGCTGAGTCCCTTAAAAGGTAAAGGTTTCCCCTGACATAAAGTCTAGTTGTGTCTGACTCTAGGAGTGGCGCTCATCTCCATTTCGAAGCCGAAGAGCCGGCGTTGTCCGTAGACGTCTCCAAGGTCATGTGGCCAGCATGACTGCATGGAGTGCCATTATCTTCCCACTAAGGCAGTACCTATTGATCTCACATTTGCATATTTTCAAACTGCTAGATTGGCAGAAGCTGGGCCTATAGCAGGAGCTCACTGTACTCCCCCGATTCAAACCACAGACCTTCAGTTAGCAAGTTCTGCAGCTCAGTGGTTTAACCTGCTTAACAACAACAACAATATGTAACAAAATTTGAAAAAAATCTGTTCCTGGTTTGAAAGTGTTATTTCCAGTTTAATTGTGCAGTCCTTGCTTTGAACATAGTTGTTCTGCTCCAGATACTTCATTGTTTTTTGTTGCTGCCAGAAACTAGGTTGAATTGGTCGAGACTCAATGAGATATTCATTAAGAAACTATACGATGGAACTGGACAATGTTTTACATAAGGATTCATTAATGACTTATGTTTTATTGCTGTTGTTATGATTTTATTTATGTTAAGGTTTAAAATTGTTCTTGTACTTTTGTGGCATTGAATTTTGCCTTGTAAACCGCTTCGAGTCGCCTGAGGGTTGAGACGGGCGGTATACAAAGACACAGTAAATTTATATAAATAAAAATGTAATGTTCATTTGTGGGATTAACATAACTCAAAAGCCACTGGACGAATTGACACCAAATTTGGACACAAGACACCTAACAACCCAATGTATGTCCTTCACTCAAAAAATTGATTTTTGTCATTTGGGAGTTGTAGTTGCTGGGATTTATAGTTCACTATAAAAGAGCATTCTGAACTCCATCAACAATGGAATTGAACCAAACTTGGCACACAGAACTCCCATGAACAAGAGAAAATACTGGAAGGGTTTGGTGGGCATTGGCCTTGAGTTTGGGAGTTGTAGTTCACCTACATCCAGAGAGCACTGTGGACTCAAACAATGATGGATCTGGACCAAACAGAATACTCAATATGCCCAAAGGTGAACACTGGTGGCGTTTGGGGAAAATAGAACCTTGACATTTAGGAGTTGTAGTTGCTGGGATTTATAGTTCACCTACAATCACAGAGCATTCTGAACCCCACCAACGATAGAATTGAGCCAAACCTCCCACACAGAACCCCCATGACCACCAGAGTGGGCCACAGGAACGCGTGGCACGGGACGGCTAGTCTATATAAATAAAAATGTAATGTTAGTTTGTGAGATTAACATAACTCAAAAACCACTGGATGAATTGACACCAAATTTGGCCACAAGACACCTACTAACCCAAGGAGTGACCATCACTCATAAACATTCATTTGGGAGTTGTGGTTGCTGGGATTTATAATTAACCTACAATCAAAGAGCATTCTGAACTCCACCAATGATGGGATTGAACCAAACTTGGCACACAGGACTCCCATGACCAACAGAAAACACTGGAAGGGTTTGGTGGGCATTGACCTTGAGTTTTGGAGTTGTAGTTCACGTACATCCAGAGAGCACTGTGGACTCAAACAATGATGGATCTGGACCAAACTTGGCATGAATACTCAATATGCCCAAATAGAACACAGGTGGAGTTTGGGGGAAATAGACCTTGACATTTGGGAGTTGTAGTTGCTGGGATTTATAGTTCACCTACAATCAAAGAGCATTCTGAACCCCATGAATGATAGAATTGGGGCAAACTTCCCACACAGAATCCCTATGACCAATAGAAAATACTTAAGGCCATCCAGTCCAACTCCCTTCACAATCAAAATCAAATACTGTTTAGCCACAAGCATAAATAAATTACATATATTAGCAACCAACACTTTCTCATTACTTTATTTTCCAGATCACCAGACTGGGCCACAGCAACGCGTGGCAGGGGACGGCTAGTAAATAAAAATAAATAAATAAATAAACTATAGCAAAATGTGCTGCAGGATGTCCCTCCTACCAAAACAAAGTTTTTGCAATTTAATAAACTTTTTTTCCATGTTTTTATGATAGAACCAATTAGGAAATGACATTTTAAATCCAATAACAGAAAATGCATGACATAGTGTAACAATAAATTATCAATGTGTGACCTAACCCTCACTCTGTGCGTGCAGCCAAGCCTGGTTCTCCAGGGAGGAGCAACCTTTGCAAGGAGCAGGTGCCTGCCAAACCTGCCAGGTGCTGGACTCCACCTCCAGGAAATGCTGAGCCCAAGGGCACCCCGACTGCTGACTTTGCAGCGCTCCTTTCAGGTAGTCCTGCTCTCCTAGTTTCTTCTGCATTCATTCTCAGGCATGCCTAAAAACTGCTTTTCTGTGCATGCAATAAGGAGGAGGAGGAGAAAGCAAGTGGCTGGAGGACCCAGGTGGGCAGCATATGTCCTGAGTCATGAGTGGTCCAAATCAGGGTTTTTAAAAGTTGGATCCTACACCCAAATGAGGCCCCTTTAGCTGAGAGGTCCCCAAACTATGGCCCCTAGATGCAGCCCTCCAAGGCCATTTCCCTGGCCCCGCGCTCATCTTTAGACTTAAGATCTTATCCCATGTGATGTGGGCAGAGGCGGCCCTAGGTAATTTTCAACGGTAAGCAAACAGTATTTGGGCGCCCCCCCCCCCCAACCAATCATTGATATATATTTTCTGTTCGTCGTGGGAGTTCTGTGTGCCATATTTGGTTCAATTCCATCATTGGTGGAGTTCAGAATGCTCTTTGATTGTAGGTGAACTATACATCCCAGTAACTACACTTGCCGCACTTGCTCCCTTGCCTGGCCCGCTTTGGATCCAGAGGCGTGCCTGAAGACCCCGGCGTGTGCACCAAAAGTCACCTCTTCTCCTGACTTTCTCCTCAGCCATTGGGACCAAGAGAGAGAGAGAAGAGAGAGAGAGAGGTGGAGATGCCCACCTTTCCTGAAGGTAGGCGCAAAAACAAAGGAGGGAGCGGAGGTGGGAGATACCTCCAGCCGGAGGGGCTCTCTCTCTCTGTCTTGGTCCCAATGGCTGAAGAGAAAGTCAGGAGAAGAGGCGACTATTGCTGCGCACGCTGGGGTCTTCAGACACGCCTCCGGACCCGAAGCGGGCCAGGTGCAGCGGCTCTTCCCCTTGGCCCACCCACCGATTGGGGAGAGGAGAGGAGGTGGGTGGAGCGCCGGGGGATCAGGAAAGGGAGTCAGTCATGGGGAAGGGATCGAATGCAGAGAACGGTTGAGCACCGGCTCTGCTCACGCACCCGGTGGCCGGGTGGAGCAGGAATGAGAGGGGCTAGGCAAGGCTCAAGGGCCCGGCTCCTTTGGGAAGAGGATCGCCCGGCAGCGAGGCAAGAAAGCCGAGGCTCCCCCCGGACTGCTAGGGCTGTTGTGAGCTGAGGGGGCTCCTCAAGTGGCGGTCGAGGGGCATTTACAGAGGCGCCTCTGCGCCCCTGGCAAAAAAAAGTGTTCTGCGACCGCTTACTTCGCGTAATGGACGAGCCGCCCCTGGATGTGGGTAGCATTACATAATTGTGTTTAGTCTTGCAACATTGCCGCTTCAGCAGCTGAGGGGGGAAAGGAAAGGGCCTGAGGCTGTTAGGAATTGTGGGAGTTGAAGTCCAAAACACGAGAAGAGCCAAAGTTTGTCCATGCCTGATATAGATATAGATATAGAGAAGGAAATGGAAATGGAGATACAAGGATTGAATGAAAAGTAATGCCTCCACCTTCGTTACTTGGTTTTGGATGGGAATATTTTAATAAATCAAACGCAGAAATAATCCTTAGAATGTGCTCTTTAACTGCCACTATTCACTTTCCCACATAATCACCAGACAATTGGATACATTTCTGCCAACAATGAACAAGTTTGCTGAAGCCGTCATGGAAGAAGTCTGTGCGCTTTCATTTCAGGCGTCAGTATCCTGGGTACCCATCGTGCACAGATCTTCTTCTGATAATAATAATAATAATAATAATAATAATAATAATAATAATAATCTTTATTTATACCCTGCTACCAGTGGGAATTCAGAGCAGCTTACATGGGGCCAAGCCTGGGCAACATAATACAGCAAAATAAAACCAAAAGCGTAGACAACAAACAACAACATCAAAATTACAAAGAAAGAAAGAAAGAAAGAAAGAAAGAAAGAAAGAAAGAAAGAAAAACAGTAAACACAGTCACGATAACAGTGGGCGAGCCACATGTACAGGATAAAACAATTAAAAGACTCTAATGAGATAAAAATAGGAGCAGGTTGTTTGCAGGGAGCTCATAAAAACAAACAAAGTTGTGAAGCTAAACTTCCCATTTGGAGGGCGTGTACTCCAGTGGCAGAAGCGTTGAGGGGAGCAATAATATCATGTTGTGCACCTACTCGCCAAAGGCGCCGTGGAAGAGCCAGGTTTTAGTGAAGGGGCTTTCCAAAGCAATAATGTGACCCACATGTTCTTGTGAAATGCCGATTTTGCTTAAATTTCTCTCTGAGTGATGCGACAATTGTCCTGAATCAATCTGTCAACCTTTTGCTTGTGAAACTCGGTGGTTGCTGTCACAGGACGTCCAACTCTGTTTGTCACACAAGTCAGATGTTCCCACCTCAACATCTTTAAACTTACTCACCCAATGATGCACAGTACTCACATCAACACAATCGCCATGAACAGCTTGCATTTTCTGATGAATCTCCTTTGGAGTGATACCATCTGCTGTCAAGAATTGAATGACTGCATGTTGCTTAAGTCGCATTGACCGACTGTCTGCGCAGGGTTCCATACTTCGCACTTTAACAACCATTCAATGCTAAGGCTTCCTGGCCAAATGGAACTGTAGAGGAGAGTGTACTGAACAAGCCAGTACCTGCTGCATACCAGTACTGCCATCTGTTGAGGAGTTACGCAGGTGGAGGCATTACTTTTCATTCAACCCTCGTAGATATAGTACACATACACATACAGTGGTTGGACAACTCTAGGATTCTATGATAGATATAGATACAGATACAATACAGATGTAGATGCATATGCAGATGGAAATACAGATGGAGATGGAGATACAGATTCAAATAGAGAAACAGAAACAGACATGGAGTTTTTGGGGTCTCTTCCATCTCTATGTTTCCATGAATGGCTGTGTGGACATGCAAATCTGCTTTCCTCTATACCAGTTTGAGCCTGGCCTAAGTGGTCAGTGCAGATGGTGTCTTTAGGGACCTCCCAAGGAGGTTATGGGATATCACATGCCTTGAGTGCAGGAGACCTCATTTTTTTCTGTGCTTCCCAGGTTCGCAGCTCTCAGGCCATGTCTCAAGGAGGAAACGGTGCCACCCCGCCTCCTCCTCACCGTGGCTTCATCCTTGGCGTGGACCATGTGGTGATGACCGTGACGAGCATTGCAGACACTGTGGCCTTCTACTCCAAGGTGCTGGGCATGGAGGTGGTCTCCTTCAAGGTACTAAGGCTGAAAAGGCCCAAAGATACTCAAAAACCAAACTTTAGGGGCTTTTAAAAAGATGGATTTTTAAAAAAATCAATGCCAGGCAATTCTCTCTAAAGAGGGCATTTCATAACTAGGTGCCACTGTTTAAAAGAGCTGTTCAGCAGTGGAACTCTCCACCTCGGAGTCCAGTGGAAGCTCTTTCATGGGAGGCTTTTAAACAGAGGCTGGATGGCCACCTGTCAGGGGTGCTTTGATTGTGCTTTTCCTGCCTGGCAGAAAGAAGAAGGCAGGACTGGATGTCCTTTGGAGTCTCTTCCAACTCTATAATTCTATGACAGCCTGGATGGCCATCTTTTGGGAGGGCTTTGATGGTGTCCTATCTGGCAGAAGGGGGCTGGATTGGATGTCCTTTGGAGTCTCTTCCAGTTACGATCCACACATCCATTCGGTGTCCTTTTTGTTTTACTACTAAACAGGGAAACCGCAAAGCCTTGCATTTTGGGAAACAGAAGATCAACCTCCATGAAACGGGGAAGGAGTTTGAGCCCAAAGCCCTCTGTCCCACGCCGGGCTCCTTGGACATCTGCTTCATCACGGAAATGCCTCTGGAGACGCTCACAGAGCACTTGAGGGTCAGGCCTATACATTCTCTATACTGTTTATCCAAGAGGAGGAGAATAGGCCAGAAGAGGCCCCTCTCTCTGTGATGCAGCAGCAAAAAAGGCTGTTGCAATCCTAGGCTGCATTGATTAATGCTCAGCTAAGGGAAATCACAATGTTGTTCCATTCTAGTTTGATCAAGGTATATCCTTACTTGGATATTCCTTGTCCACTTGTGGGAAACACAGTTTAATAAAGTATAATATACTTTCTGGTTTTTATGTATTGTCGAAGCTTTTCATGGCCAAAATCACTGGGTTGTTGTAGGTTTTTTGGGTTTATGGCCATGTTCTAGAAGCATTCTCTTCTGACATTTTGCTTGCATCTATAGCAGGCATCCTCAGCGGTTGTGAGATCTGACAACCTCTGGGGATGCCTGCCATAGATGCAGGTGAAATGTCAGGAGAGAATGCTTCTAGAACATGGCCATACAGCCTAGAAAACCTACAACAACCCAGTTTCTGGTTTTTAACTTGTTTTTAAGATTGAGTCGCTTTGGATCCCAGTTCTGGGGAAAAAGTGGGATGCAAATATAATAATAATAATAATAATAATAATAATAATAATAATAATAATACTTCCCTTCTCTTTCCTTGCTTGCAGGCCTGTGGGGTCAAAATTGAAGACGGTCCGGTGTCCAGAACAGGGGCAATGGGTCCAATAAGGTCCGTTTACTTCCGAGATCCTGACCAGAACCTTCTAGAAGTCTCTAACTATGACAAAGAGTGAGAGCCATAATAAATTCTTCTCTGCATCAGCAATGTCTGTCCACTCCATTTTCAGGTCTGAAAACACAATCCATGCTCAGTTCTAGTTTGATTTGTGAGTAGTAGGACCAAGGACAACCCTTCACTTTGTAAATCCGTTCTGGGATTTAGTCAGAACTTGAAAGGGGTTGTCCAAGGTACTGAACCTATTCAAGGAAACTGAGCGCAGCCATATCCTGCAAAGTTTGATTTAAAATCATAGAATCATAGAGTTGGAAGAGACCTGGTGAGACTTCAATTGCTATTCCCATCCAGAGGTTAACCCACTGTGGCAACAAATGACCAGAAATCATTATCAAAAGCCTTCTCAGCATCTAAGAAAATCATAGAATCATAGAGTTGGAAGAGACCTCATGGGCCATCCAGTTCAACCCCCTGCCAAGAAGCAGGAATATTGCATTCAAAGCACCCCTGACAGATGGCCATCCACCCTCTGCTTAAAAACCTCCAAAGAAATGAGGTCAAAACCCAAGCCCTTGCTTTCAAGCTGATCTTGGAAGCTTTTAAACAGAGGCTGGATGTCCATCTGTCTGGGGTGATTTGAATACAATATTCCTGCTTCTTGGCAGGGGGTTGGACTGGATGGCCCATGAGGTTTCTTCCAACTCTTTGATTCTATGATTCTATGATCTGAACCGCAGCAGGGAGTTCCGCATTAGTCATTTTAATCCAATCACCTTTCCATTCCTTTCATTGTTTCCCGCCTGGCCCGCATCCTCCCTTCCCATTGGCTGAGAAGCCGAAGTGGGGCTAGCGCCTCCCAACCAGCTAATGACTCCAACCAATCAATAAGAAGCCGGAAAGGAGGGCGGGAGTGGGAAATTTGAATTTGACAGCTCTGTATTTCCTATAAAAACTGTAATATTTTCCCTTGTGAGTTATGTCGGCTTCTGGGCAAATGATTGCGGTTGACATCCGTTCCTGCTGGAATGAAATAAACAGCTCTGTGGCTTCCTCTTCAACTTGGTGAGATTTATTGGGAAATTTAGGGAAAATCTTTCTGGGTGCTTTCTGTCTCGCCGGGTGTTCGGATCCTCTTTTATGGGTCTGGCTGGCCTCTGCCTTGGCAGGGCCCCCTGAATTCGTGTTTGACATCAGAAGTAGCTTCCTCCACACTCCAGGGCAGAGAGTTCCACTGCTGAACAACTCTTACAGTCAGAAAGTTCTTGCCCATGTTCAGGTGGAATCTCCTTTTCTGTAGTTTGAAGCCATTGCTCCATTGCGTCCTAGTCTCCGGGGCAGCAGAAAACAAGCTTATAACTTTACCTCACATATTGATACCTGGCCCTCATCATGTATCCTCTCAGCCTTCTCTTCTACAGACTAAACATGCCCAGCTCTTTAAGCCGCTCCTCACAGGCCTTGTTCTTCAGACCCTTGATCCTTTGAGTTGCCCTCCTCTGGACACATTCCAGCTTGTCAACATTTCCCTTCAATTGCGGTACCCAGTATGATTCCATATAAAGTGGTCTGACCAAGGCAGAAGAGAGGGATAGCATGACTTCCCTGGATCTAGGCACTGGACTCCTATTGATGCATGCCATAATCGCATTGGGTTTTTTAGCTGCCACGTCACATTGTTGACTCATGTTTACCTTGTTGTCCACGAGGACTCCAAGATCTTTTACACATGTACTGAAAAAGATGTGTGAAAAAGCAGATTGTCCATTCCATTGTATGGAAGCTCCAGTTGCCATATTCCCAGAGCAAGAGATGCAGTTTTACCCTGTGTGGATGGATTCCCTTCAGTTTCCTTTCGCTCCTGGTCAGTCATGGGAGAAGCAGTTTAAACCAGAGTGGATGGATTCCTTCCCTTTGCTTCCCCCCCCCAGCCCTTTCTGGAATAAAACAACTACTTTCAAAGTAAAGGCCACCCAATGAAACAGGAAATAACACTTTGAAACCATTAATGAAGGATTTGGAAGTCTCAGAAGTATTGAAAAGTTCTGAACTTTTTTTTCTGTGAAAATCGGAATTGACTTTAGATCTGAACCACCAGCCTAAACGGGTTTTGAACCATTTTTTATGAACCAAGCCTAGTAGGTAGGTAGGTAGGTAGGTAGGCAGGCAGACAGACAGACAGATAGATAGATATCATGGGCAAAGCATGTGATCAGACCAATAAATGAAAGATCATAGAGATCAACAGAATAGAATGACATAAGAAAGGAGGACTGCATGGTATGTGAATGGAGTTCATGAAGGCATCATGGCTGCTGCCCTTTTTTTCCTGTGTCGGGAGTGAAACTGCAAGTCACTTCTGGTGTGAGAGAATTGGTCGTCTGCAAGGACGTTACCTAGGGGACGCCCGATGTTTGATTCTTTTTACCATCCTTGTGGGAGGCTTCTCTCATGTCCCCGCATGGGGAGCTGGGGCTGACAGAGGGAGCTCAATCCGCTCTCCTTGGATTCAAACCGTTGACCTGCCAGCACAAGGGTTTAACCCATTCTGCCACTGAGGGCTCCACCAACTCTGCTAAGCAGTAATGTAACAGTACGGATGTGAACATTGCACACCTGCCCAGTGCTACATCCTGCAAGGCAAAGTCCACTTGCAGAGAATGCAAAGCCCCAGAAGGGTTCCACATTCCAGCCATTCTTTCTATCCATAGCTTTCCATGGTTCACCATTAGATGGCAGCCGTGCCGTTTTCAAAAGACCAGAGAGAAGAATTAAAAGAGAGAGAGAAAGAAGGAGTCAAAGAAGCTTGAATTTGGCCCTGCCAACAGTAGTGGTTATCAAAAAATCAGACCTCCCCAACAATATGGATTATATAAATATACTAGCTGTCCCCTGCCATGCGTTGCTGTGGCCCAGTCTGTTGATCTGGAAAATAAAGTAATGAGAAAGTGTTGGTTTCTAATATATGTAATTTCTTTATGCTTGTGGCTAAACAGTATTTCTTGCTGTTTCTTTGTCAGTGTTGATGTGGAGAGTGTCTGGTTTGCCTACTCTGGAACATGCAACATATAATTGTCCTTCTTTAGGGGTCCCTTTCAAATCTATGATACTATATCTGTGTGTGTGTGAATCATATCTATCTATATCTATGGCTGGATGGCTCTTTGTCAGGAGGCTTTGATTATGTTTTCTTGCCCTGGTGAAGGGAGTTGGACTGGGTGGCCTTAAGTATTTTCTGTTGGTCATGGGGCTTCTGTGTGGGAAGTTTGCCCTAATTCTATCCTTTGTGAGGTTCAGAATGCTCTTTAATTGTAGGTGAGCTATAAATCCCAGTAACTACAACTCCCAAATGTCAAGTCTATTTCCTCCAAACTCCATCTGTGTTCATATTTGGGCATATGGAATATTTGTGCCAAGGTGGGTCCAGATCTATCATTGTTTGAGTCCATGATAGTTTCTGAATGTAGGTGAACTACAACTCCCAAAATGCTCACCAAACCCTTCTAGTGTTTTCTGTTGGTCATGGAAGTCCTGTATGCCCTGGTTGGTTCAGTTTTATCATGCTATTTGATTGTAGGTGAACTATAAATCCCAGCAACTACAACTCCCTATCTATCTATCTATCTATCTATCTATCTATCTATCTATCTATCTATGGATGGCTCTTTGTCAGGAGGACTTTGATTATGTTTTCTTGCCCTGATGAAGGGAGTTGGATTGGATGGCCTTAAGTATTTTCTGTTGGTTATGGGGGTTCTCTGTGGGAAGTTTGCCCCGATTTTGTCATTCGTGGGGTTCAGAATGTTCTTTGATTGTAGGTGAACTGTGAATCCCAGTGACTACAACTCCCAAATGTCAAGGTCTATTTCTCCCAAACTCCATCTGTGTTCATATTTGGGCGTATTGAGTGCTTGTGCCAAGTTTGGTCCAGATCCATCATTGTTTGAGTCCACAGTGCTCTCTGGATGTAGGTGAACTACCACTCCCAAACTCACGGTCAATGCTCACCAAACCCTTCCAGTATATTCTGTTGGTCATGGGAGTTCTGCGTGCCAAGTTTGGTTCAATTCCATTGTTGATGGAGTTCAAAATGCTCTTTGATTGTAGGTGAACTATACATCGCAGCAACTACAACTCCCAAATGACAAAATCATATTTTTTGAGTGATGGTCACTCCTTGTGTTGTGAGACATTTGGTTGCCAAATTTGGTGTGATTTCGTTCATTGGTTCTTTTGTTTTTAAGGTACTCATTATGCACAGAGCATTAATATATATATAGATGAATCGTAAGATTCAGTTTCGTTGGAAAACATATACTCAAAGTCAACTTCGATAATGGAAATAATTTATTGAGTTTTCTTCATCCTTACAAATGATTTATAAATATATTGCATAATTTAAGAACATGAATCACTAGTAATACAAGACAGAAAGAAAGAAAGCCATTTAAAAGGGAAACAGCTGGGGAAAGTTTGTTTGGTCAAGTAAGGCATCAGCATGTATTCTCAAAAAACTCTGATTTTTGAGAATACATACACTTAATATAGGAGCCTATGGTAGTGCAGCAGGTTAAACCGCAGGTAGAACTTGCTGACTGAAAGGTTGGCAGTTCGATTCCAGGGAGCGGGGTGAGCTCCCACTGTTAGCCCCAGCTTCTGCCAACCTAGGAGTTCGAAAACATGCAAATGTGAGTAGATCAATAGGTACCACTTTAGCGAGAAGGTAACGGTACTCCATGCAGTCATGCCAGCCACATGACCTTGGAGATGTCTATGGACAAAGCCGGCTCTTTGGCTTAGAAATGGAGAAGAGCACAACCCTCCAGAGTCGGACACAACCAAATTTAATGTCAAGGGGAAACCTTTACTTTTCTATACTTAATATCCAAAGTCACTTTGTGCTACCATCTGCTACTCAAATCCGAGGTGTGATAATAATGCAAAATTAAACCAGGAGATTTAAAATTGGAGGGTTTTTTTTGGGGGGGGGGGGGGGAATGAGCACCATATGCCGAATCGCAGCTTCGAATCCGGGGAGAGGCCGATGAGCTCCCTCTATTAGCTCCAGCTCCTCATGCGGGGACATGAGAGAAGCCTCCCACAAGGATGACAAAAACATCAAAAATCATCCGGGCATCCCCTAGGCAACGTCCTTGCAGACGGCCAATTCTCTCACACCAGAAACAACTTGAAGTTTCTCAAGTCACTCCTGACACAACAAAAATGAATCAAAATCCTGCTTTGGAAAGCAGTTCAATGAACCTTTCAAGCACTTGATTTTTGTCTGACCAGCAGAACAAGGGAAATTTAATCCCTGAAAGGAAACAGCGGGTGATAAATAATATCAGGTGTAAGATTCACACTATTCATCATCATCATTTCAAATAGAAGGAGGCAGTGTCCTTGAAATGTTGAGTCGGTTCCATGTTGGAGTGAGGCTTCCCGCTGTTCTACAAGCAAGAGGCCAGCAATGCGCTGTCAGGAAGGCTTTCCAGGTCATCCACTATTTGGACGATGCTCTCGACCTTGTCTTCAGGAAGCACCTGGGAAGCATTGGACCGGAACTTCCTCAGGAGCGACTCCCTGCTCAGGGGCCTCCTCCAGTGGCCGTAGAAGGTGTTGCAGCGCCCTGTCAGGACATCCCCATCCTGCAGGACCAGGGCCACCTCCGCGTACATCTTCTCAAAGCTGGCGGGGTTGTCCTCTGGGTGCTCCACCACCACCTTGGAGAGGAGTTGGGCCAGCTCTGGGCGCCGGATCTGGTGGTCGTGGAAGGAGGAGATGCCCACCTCGCCGTCCAAAAGGGCCGTGCTGGCATTGAACTGGAAGGAGTGTCGGGCCTCATGCTCCGATTCGGGGAAGGGCCGGTTGATGTACTTGGAGACGGGTACCCTCAGGATGATGGTGCGGACGTCAGAGGGAGAGAAACGCCCATAATGATTGACCAAGAGGTTCCTGGCTGAGAGGGCAGCTTCCACCGTCCAGTGCATGCCCAGATGGGCTGGGAAGCTCTTGAAGGCGATGTCCTGCTCCTCAAGGAGGAACTCATGGCCCTCCGACTGCAGGGCCAGTGGCCTGGGATCGTAGTCGCCGTAGAAAGCACTGAACCCGGCACAGCCAGGGACATCATCCAGGATGCGGGGATTGGCCTCAATCCCCCGGGCAGCCAATAGCGCGGCTTCCAGCCCCAGGCGTGTGGCATTGCCAACATGGAAGGGCTTGGCTGAGGTAGCAGCATTGGCCATGGGCGCTCCGGCCAATGAGGCCGCAATGGCCAAAGCATGACCACACCGGGCAGCATCAAGGGAGAGGAGCTTGGCGGTTGCTGCAGCGCTGCCCAGAGTGCCCACCACGGAGGGAGGGTGGAACCTAGGAGGGAAAGGCCAGAGGGGTCAAGGGAGAGGCCCAGAAAGCTGGATTAAACAGCAATGACTAAAACAAGGATAGGAACAACTAAAGGAAATAAACACCTAGAGCAGTGTTTCACAACCTGCCTAATGTGACCCCTTAATACAGTTCCTCATGTTGTTGTGACCCCAACCATAAGATTATTTTCGTTGCTACTTTGTAACTGTAGTTTTGCTACTAGTATGAATCGTAATGTAAATATCTGTTATGCAGGATGTATTTTCATCAACTTTACCAAATTTGGCACAAATACCCCATACACCCAAATTTGAATACTGGTGGGGTCGGTGGGGGGAGGGTTGATTTTGTCACTTGGGAGCTGTAGTTGCTGGGATTTATAGTTTACCTACAATCAAAGAGCATTCTGAACTTCACCAACAATGGAACTGAACCAAACTTGACACACAGAACTCCCATGACCAGCGGAAAATACTGGAAGAGTTTATATATCTGTGGAATAATGTCCAGGGTGGGAGAAAAAACTCTTGCCCATTGGAGGCAAGTGTGAATGTTGCAATTGGTGAATGTTGCAATTACCCACCTTGATTAGCACTGAATAGCCTTGCAGCTTCAAAGCCTGGAGTTCTTTCTCCCACCCTGGACATTATTCCACAGATATATAAACCCCACTTGCCTAGTTTCCAACAGACCTCGCAACCTCTGAGGATGCTTGCCATAGATGTGGGCGAAACGTCAGGAGAGAATGCTTCAGGAACACAGCAAGACAGTCCAGAAAACTCACATCAAACCAGTTTGTGGATAATTTTAGAGGATAAAGTTATAACTTATTAATTTAATTATCCATATCCACAGATGTTATACGTCTTATATTAAATTGTGTAGATCAACTCCATATTATGGACTTTCTGCTTTTAATGATGTGAATTTCTGGTCTTCATGCTTAAAACAGTGGTTCTCAATGTGTGGGTCCCCAGATGTTTTGGTCTTCAACTCCCAGAAATCCTAACAGCTGGTAAACTGGCTGGGATTTCTGGGAGTTGTAGGCCAAAACACCTGAGGACCCACAGGTTGAGAACCACTGTCTTAAAAATTTTTGTAAAGTTTTACATTCCTAGTCTGTGACCATAATAATATTAATTAATTCATTCATAAAATTCATAAAATTCATTCAAAGTGCACTGGTTTGAAATTACTACTTCTAAGGTCGGTCGATTGGTTGGTTGGTCAGTTGATAGATAGATATGCCTTCCAGATATTTTGTAGCCCTGAAGGCGGGCGATCTGGCCATTGCTTTCTGCAAACACTAGACCAGTGGTTCTCAACCTGTGGGTCCCCAGGTGTTTTTGCCTACATCTCCCATAAATTTCAGCAAGTTTACCAGCTGTTAGGATTTCTGGGAGTTGAAGGCCAAAACATCTGGGGACCCACAGGTTGAGAACCACTGCACTAGACCCAGTTGTAGCTGTTGTATTATGGACTTCTGCAAATGCCTCCCATCTCCCTTGTACCTGGGCATGAATGTCCCGTTTCCAAAATAGCAAAGGATTGTCCCCCTTCACCTAAAGCACCCAAAAGTAACCATGTCAACGGAAAGGAGGACACACAATAAGGCTGTACCTCTTTGGGATGTTGCTGGCCTCTCGGGAGAAGCGCAAGAGCCGGCCCTGGACCTCGATGCCCACGTTGAAGGCCAGGAGGAAGTCACGGCCAGAGGGCCTGGAGGAGGCTGGCAGCATCTGGGAGGCAGCCAGGAGGGCCGGCAGGATGGCCCCCGAAGGGTGAGTGGCCGGGTGCCAGGTGTCATCAAAGTCCATGGAGTGGGACTGCAAAACAAAGGCACAGGTTAGGAGACAGGCCAGACAAGAGAGCCAGATTCAGCCTCCCTATATCTGGTGCATCTTAGACATGTAAAACCCATCTTTGTATAGCTCCCAGAGACCTCACAATGGACTTAATAGACATACCGAGAGTGATCTAAACATGGCATAGTTCCACGGAATAAATCAAATTCAACAACGAGAGATACAATGTAAGGAGTGGGAATTCATAGAATCAAAGAGTTGGAAGAGACCTCATGGGCCATCCAGTCCAACCCCCTGCAAGAAGCAGGAAATTGCATTCAAAGCACCCCCGACAGATGGCCATCCAGCCTCTGTTTAAAAGCTTCCAAAGAAGGAGCCTCCACCACACTCCAGGGCAGAGAGTTTCAATGCTGAACAGCTCTCACAGTCAGGAAGTTCTTCCTAATGTTTAGAAGGAATCTCCTCTCTTGTAGATTCTGGGTGTTATAGTTCAACTATGTTTCTTAGCTCTGGTGGGAGGACAATAGGAAGGCTTGCACTGATGGGGAACAAGTCACCCACACATTCCTTCTTTTGGAAATGATGGAGGGATGCTATTTAGGGTTCTAGGAATATAGTAAAGGTTTCCCCTTGACATTAAGTCCAGTCGTGTCCAACTCTGGGGGTTGATGCTCATCTCCATTTCTAAGCTGAAGAGCTGGCATTGTCCATAGACACCTCCAAGGTGTGTGCCAGCATGACTGCATGGATCACCGTTACCTTCCTGTTGGAGCAGTGGCTATTGATCTACTCACATTTGCATGTTTTCAAACTGCTAGTTTGTCAGAAGCTGGGGCTAAGAGTGGGAGCTCATCCCACTCCCCAGATTCGAACCGCCAACCTTTTGGTCAGCAAGTTCAGCAGCTCAGCAGTTTAACCCACTGCACCACCGGGGGCTGTAGTACAAATATGTAGTTTTTCCAATCTATTCTTGAGATTATATTGGTGACTTCCGTTGATGGTGAGGTGACTTTGAACAGAATGGCAGAAAAAGGTAGATTACAAAAGTCATACTGGCCATCCCCATGTTACAAACAAGATGGGTTCTGTAGGTTTGTTCTTAAATTGGATTTGTATGTAAGTCGGAACAGGTACATTTTGAAATGTAACTTCAGCCATGTATGTGTGTGTGTGCATGCTTTGGATGGGATAGGGGAGAGCTAACACCCCTGTGGTGTTTCCTTTGGGGTCTGTGCCCCTGTTTGGAAGATTCCACCTCACTTTCTCTACCTGTGATCATTGGATTTTGAAAAAAATGGTGATAATTGTGACTAAAAAAAAAGAAAAAAAAAAAAAAAAAAAAAAAAAAAAAAAAAAAAAAAAAAAAAAAAAAAAAAAAAAACAAAAAAAAAAAAAAAAAAAAAAAAACCAAAAAAAAAAAAAAGAAAAAAAAAAAAAACAACAATAAAAAAAACAAAAATGGTGATAATTGTGACTTGTTGTGATAAAACTTCAGTGGAGACACCTTCCCCCCTGACAATAACTCTTCCAGGAGTAGATTTCCCTTCAGAGGGGGAGATTCCTCTCACTTCCTGTTGTCTCACCCCATTTGTAACTCTAAGTCATTTGTAAGTCGGATGTTTGATGTTTGTAACTTGTAACTTGGAAATTGCATTTTGTGTCCATGTGAGGCTCCTTCTGGCATCACCCGCCCAATCTTCCCTCTCCAGAAAGGGTGAAGAATGCCTTACCGCCACTCCGTTGGCAAACGCAGCCAGAGGAGGAGACATCTTGAGACCTTTCCTCCCATAAACTGAGCTCACTGGGCTGGAAGAGAAGGTTTCCTGTCCAAGAGAAAGAAAGACGGCATCAGAAAAGCTCATGACATGCAGGTAAGATGCAGACACCGGCTCATTCCCCGCATTCAGTTGCTTTTTAAGCTCTTCTTGTTCTAATTGTGACATTTTGAAATTTTACCATATTCTTCCAAAACTAAAAATAACAAAATTCTCCCTAGTCAAATCCAACTGTTTCCAATGTGGGAAAGACCATGTTGCACTTGCAGCCTGTAAACGGGTGATGTTTTTTCCATGTCAAAAGCGACTTGAAAAACTGCAGCAAAGTTCTATTTATTTATTTTATTTACAGTATTTATATTCCGCCCTTCTCACCCTGCAGGGGAGAATGTACATATACATGGCAAACATTCAATGCCATAGACACACAGCATATATAGACAGACACTCAGAGGCTATTTAACATTACAGCTTCTGGCCACCAGGGGAGCTGTCACTTCACCGTCACTGATGAAGTACTTCCTCATTCTTTGCATACTTGCTGGAGATTTTTATGGCCTCGTAAATTAGTTAAATTAGCCTCCCCACATAAGTGGTACCTAAATTTCCTACTTGACAGATGCAACTGTCTTTCAAGCTTCAAAAGTCGACAACAAGCTACACAAATTGGTCGGAAGCTCACTCCGACTCAGGCTGGTTTCGAACTCATGACCTTTCAGTCAGTAGTGATCTTAATGCTGCTAACTCCCAACCAGCTGCACCACAGTCCCGGTACTTCTAGTGCGAGAGAATTGGCCATCTGCAAGCATGTTGCCCAGGGGACGCCCAGATCTTTTTGGTTTTACCATCCTTGTGGGAAGCTTCCCTCCTGTCCCCGCATGGGGAGCTGGAGCTAACAGAAGGAGCTCAACCCGCTCTCTTCGGGTTTGAACTGCTGACCTGTCGGTCTGCAGTCCTGCTGACACAAGGGCTTAACCCATTGCACCAATGGGGCGATGAAGATGGGGAACATCCCAAAGGGGAAAAGAATTCAAGATGGGAAATAGCAAGGGAAATGGAACTTGCCATGAAAACCTCAATTGTGCTCTCAAAGTCCAGGTTCTGGAAGGACATCCTTCTCTAGTTTTTATTTAAATGCATTTCACCATAAGGTAAAGGTAAAGGTTTTCTCCTGACATTAAGTCATGTGTGTGTGGATCAACTTAGAAACTGTAAGTCGCTTCTGGTGTGAGGGAATTGTCCATCTGCAAGGACGTTGCCCAAGGGATGCCGATGTTTTGATGTTTTACCATCCTTGTGGGAGGCTCTTCTTATGTCCCCACATGAGGAGCTGGAGCTGATAGAGGGAGCTCATCCGCACTATCCCCGGATTCGAACCTGCAACCCATTGGTCTTCAGTCCTACCGGTTCAGGGATTTAACCCACTGCGCCATAAACGTATACACATCTAAGTGGAATGTGCTGCTGCCTGGGAGTAGCCTCCTTCTCTTGAGGTTTTGAAACAGAGGATACATGGCCATCTGTCGGGAAGGAAAGGATTGTGCCTTCCTGCCTGACAACAATGGACTGGGTTGGCCTTGGGGGTCCCTTCTTTGAAGCAGAGGCTGGATGGCCATCTGCAAGGAGGGCTCGGGTGATATCACCTGGTAGAAAGAAGGGGGTTGGACTAAATGGCCTTTGGAGTCTCTTCCAACTCAATGAATCGATGATTCGGTATATCAAAATAAAAAAGAGAGTGGGCTGTTCCTGACTTGCTGAGATGGGCCTTGAAGTCAAACATTGATTTGCACAGTCCCTTGACCTCTAGCGTCTGTGGGCATCTGAATGGTGGCTCTGATCCAGTCCTTACCTGGCAAAAGTGGAGGGCGATGTCGAAGACGTGGGTTGTGCTGCCCACCAGCCCCACCCCAATGCTGTCCAGGATCATGCGCTTGCTCCGGTGGCGCACCATTTCGGACAGGAGGTCGGGGCGGACACCATGAATGAAGGAGGCAAAGGTGCCAGTGACCGTCTCCTCTGGAGCAACCCTCTCCCGGGCTGCAAAGGGAAAAAAGGGAGCAAAATATAATAATAATAATAATAATAATAATGATGCCAGCAGAGTGATCTTGTCTGCTGTGGACTCATCTTGTTGTGTTTCTAACAACAACAACAACAACAACAACAATATGTAGACTCTGCAAGGAAACAGATGAAACAATAAGCTGCTGCAAGAAGATCACGCAGACTGACTACAAGCAGAGGCATAACACCATTGTTCAAATGATTCATTGGAACTTGTGCCACAAATACCATCTGCCTGCGACAACTAACTGCTGGGATCACAAGCCGGAAAAAATTACAGAGAATGAACGCGCCAAACTCCTCTGGGACTTTTGGATTCAGACAGATAGAGTTTTGGAGCACAAGACTCCTGACCTCACAATTGTGTTAAAAAACACAGTATGGATCGTCTATGTTGCAATCCCAGGTGACAGCAGGATTGCAGAGAAACAACTGGAAAAGCTGACAAAATATGAGGATTAAAAAACTGCAAAGACTCCGGTACAAACCAGTAAAGGTGGTCCCAGTGGTGATTGGCACGCGTGCAGTGCTTAAAGACCTTGGCCTGCACTTAAACACAATCGGCGCTGACAAAATTACCATTGCCAGCTGCAGAAGGCCACCTTACTGGGATCTGCATGCATTATTTGCCAATACATCACACAGTCCTAGACACTTGGGAAGTGTCCGACGTGTGATCCAATACAACAGCCAGCAGAGTGATCTTGTCTGCTGTGGACTCATCTTGTTGTGTTTCAAATAATAATAATAATAATAATAATAATAATAATAATAATAATAATGCTTCTTTATATATAACCTGCCCTCTCTCCTCAAGGGGACTCATGGGATATGCTGTACTTACTCCAATCTAACACTCTTTTGGCTAAATTACCTTGCCAAAATTAGCATGCACCTTAGATCCGCGTAATAGGATAATCTTAGCGCTGAGAGAGACGTACCTTTGGTGGCCACTTTGTGGGCCTGTCTGGAGGCAGCGAAGACTTTGTGGGAGCTCTAGGAGAAAAGGAGGAAAGGAGAAGGTCACCAAAATGTGGTCACCCCAACCTCATCCATTACTCTGATAATAATCCTCTGTTAAAAACTGTTGAAGCTGTTAAAACAGCCATGCATCCCGAAACAGAAAGGAAAGCTGTCTCAGGGTGTGAGTAAACCTGGGTGTGGAGAGGAAGGCTGCAGAGCAAATAACATTTCGGAGCCCAGGAGGGTTGGCTTGGTTAGAAAAAGTGGCACCGAAGTCCGTTACAGCATATAAGAAAACTCAAGGCAAATTCCAGCAGGTGGCTCTGCGAATGCAGGTTGAGTGTCCCTTATTTGCAATTCCAAGTCCCAAATGGTCCACCTGAGTGGCTGAGAGAGTGACTGTTTCGGACAATTCAGTGTACACAAACTTTGTTTCATTCCCAAAGTCATTGAAATACAAAGTCATTGAAATGAGAAGAGAGTTCCATCTTGTCTCCTGTGCTTTTCTAATAATATTATAATATAATACTACTAATAATACAATATTATAATTATATATATATTTATATTACATGTAATATTACTAATATTACAATATAATGGTATAGTACAATATAGCAATATATAATACTGATATTGTACTATGATAATAATATAATATATTGTATGTATATATATATATCTTGTAAGCCGCTCCCTTCGGGATGAGAAGGACGACATATAAATGTCGTAAATAAATAAATACTGTGTGCTGCCTCCAGGCTATGTCTGTCTATAAGGTGTATACGAAGCGTAAATGTTTACACCTGGGTCCCATCTCCAAGATATCTCCTTGAGTATAAGTGTGTGTGTGTTTTGGGGGAGGGGGGATTCTGATCTATGGAATACTTTGGGTCCAAGCAAACTCAGCCTGCATTCATTCCCCATAAAGGGGTCCAACCTGGGGGTCGGGACCCCAGAGTGGTTCGTGAGAGGGTTTCAGAGGGGTCACCCAAGACCATCAGAAAACATATATTTCTGATGGTCTTAGGAACATCTTTGGCAGAGAAGGCTGAAGATATCTCTGCCTGTCCTTCTCTTCCCTTTTGGAAACAGACGGTGAATCCTCCCACCAAAAATCCTCCTCCACTGTAATTGGATGACACTCAGGGCTGTTTCTGAGACTCCAAATGAGGAGGGGAGAGCAGGCGTGCTCAGCACATGGCAGCATGTGTGCATGTGTTGGCAAGGGAAAGTGTGTGAGGCAGAAAGGAAGCTTGCACCAGCGAGTTCCTTTATGTGGGAAGTTTGGCTCAATTCTATCCTTGGTGGGGTTCAGAATGTTCTTTGATTGTAGGTGAACTATAAATCCCAGCAACTACAATCCCAAATGTCAAGGTCTATTTTCTCTAAACTCCACCAGTATCTACATATCTACATATGGCCATATTGAGTATTCATGCCAAGTTTTGTCCAGATTCATCTTTGTTTGAATCCACAGTGCTCTCTGGATGTAGGTGAACTACAACTCCCAAACTCAAGGTTAATGCCCACCAAACCCTTCCAGTATTTTCTGTTGGTTCTGAGAGTTCTGTGTGCCAAGTTTGGTTCAATCCTCTCGGTGGAGTTCACAATGCTCTTGATTGTATATAAATACCAGCAACTACAACTCCCAAATGACAAAAATCAATCCCCCCAACCCCACCAGTATTCAAATTTGGGTATTGGGTATTTGTGCCAAATTTGATCCAGTGAATGAAAATACACCCTGTATCAGATATTTACATTACGATTCATAACAGTAGCAAAATTACAGCGACGAAGTAGCAACAAAAACAATGTTATGGTTGGGGGTCACCACAACATGAGGAACTGTATTAAGGGGTTGTAGCATCGGAAAGGTTGAGAAACACTTGTCTATAAGATGTATTTGGGGTGTAAATGTTTAGACCTTGATTCCATCTCCAAAAGATGTGTGTGCGTGTGTGTGTGTGTGTGTGTACACACACACACAGAGAGATACCTCTTGGAGATAGGATCAAGGTCTATTCCAAATATATCTCATAGACCAGTGGTTCTCAGCCTTCCGAATGTCATGACCCCTTAATACAATTCCTCATGTTGTGGTGACCCCCAACCATAACATGATTTTCATTGCTACTTCATAGCTGCATAGCTTCCCATCTATAGAACACTTCTGGTCCTAAAAAAAAACCTCATTCCCCACTTAAAGAGACATTAATGGAAATCACTCAGAGGGAGAGGAGAGACTTGTCAACTTGTTACAGAACAAAACAATAGAGGGTCAAAGAATTCACAAGTTTCATTTGACCATAAGCTTTGGTGGACTCCACGCATCCAACAGAAAGAGGATAGAAATACAGAATCTGGTGCCAGAGAAAACTTAGAGGTCCTTAAGTTTGCCACATATATAATACTTTTTGTTCTCAGACGCCCATACTACAAAGGGCTTCTGAGAACTTTGTGAGGAGTAGAAGCCTTTCTTCTACTCCTCACAAAGTAGAAGAAAGGCTTCTAGGCAATAAGGAGAACTTCTCTACCTCCCAAAAGGCAGCCAGGCTTTACCTTCAGGGTTGTGTAGACCATCCTGGTGTCCGCTGCAGGTCTCTGAGTCAACTGAGAAGTGGTGATGGTGGTGCTGCTTCTAGAAGGATGCAGTTGTGTCTGAAGGTATTTGGTAGAGCCGAGGCTTTTATTTCCATCCCCAGCCACCAAATTACAGGGGTGGTCAGTGACATCCGAGGAGGCCAATGACATAATCCATGGGAGGGGCCCCTTGAAATGGTGGGAAACCCCTCTCCGCCCCGGAAGCAGTGGGTGGGGATGGTCCAGAACAACGTCTGGGGGGGCAGGAGACCAGGAAACAAGAGGGAGGAAAATGCCCCAAAGGTGCCATTACCAAGAAATGAGGTTTCAACCTCACAGACTCCTCCCCATCTCCGAAGGTGACCATAAAAACTGACTCCTATCAAGAAATGGTCAGAGAAGAGGAGACCTCTCTGAATCCGGACAGAAGAGGCTTGCAGGTATGACTTGAATGCTGTGACTCTATCTGCTCACCTTTACTTCCTTCTTGCTGCTTTCCTGGTTCACATGTCTCACACCTGAGTAGCCAGTATTGCACTCTGTGATGGAAATCACAGTTTCAGATGGTCAAAGTGACCGGTTGTTATGCTCCTTGAGGTGCCTTTGTTTGCAGGGAGGGTTAGAAAGATGTGAAAAAAAGAAACTGAAATCAAACTCTGGACTGAAATCTATGGCTCCAGGTATCTCCCTTGCTTCTTATGGAGAGAAGTAGGCAATTTTAAGGGCTTTAGATGGTGTGAGTATCTTTGTGTTGATTGAGACACAAAGAGATTTCTTTTTCATGTCAGGAGCAACGTGAGAAACTGAAAGTCGCTTTCTGGTGTGAGAGAATTGGCTGTCTGCAAGGACATTACCCAGGGGATGCCAGGATGTTTTACCATCCTGTGGGAGGCTTCTCTCATATCCCCACATAAGAAGCTGGAGCTGACAGACAGGAGCTCACCCTGCTCCCCAGATGTGAACTGCCAACCTCTCAGTCAGGAGCTCACCCTGCTCCCCAGATGTGAACTGCCAACCTCTCAATAGTAAATAAATTTTACTATTTGCTTGTCATAGTTCTACAGGGGTTGAATGAAAAGTAATGCCTCCACCTTCGTTACTTGGGTTTGATGGGAATATTTTTATTTTATTTTATTTTTGTCGTGTCAGGAGCAACTTCAGAAACTGCAAGTCGCTTCTGGTGTGAGAGAATTGGCCGTCTGCAAGGACGTTGCCCAGGGGACGCCGGGATGTTTTACCATCCTGTGGGAGGTTTCTCTCATGTCCCTGCATAAGAAGCTGGAACTGACAGACAGGAGCTCACCCTGCTCCCCAGATTTGAACTGCCAACCTCTCAGTCAGCAGTCCTGCTGGCACAAGGGTTTAACCCATTGTGCCACTGAGGGCTCCTAATCAAGAGATTTTTTTGATATAAATATAATAATAATAATAATCTATATAAATAAATAAAAATGTAATGTTCGTTTGTGGGATTAACATAACTCAAAACCACTGGACGAACTGACACCAAATTTGGACACAATACACCTATCAGGCCAATGAGTGACCATCACTCATAAAAACACTGAAAACACAGCAGAAGAGACTTAAAAAGCCAAAAAATAAAAATACAACACATGCACAGAACCACATATATATACACAAACACACATATATACACATATACACTAATACAAAACACATATACACAGACTGGGCCACAGCAACATGTGGCAGGGGATGGCTAATAATAATAATAATAATAATAATAATAATGCCTGTAGCTGCATTTGGTCCTGGAAGTGAGCCCCGCTGAACTCAGCAATGTATTATTGGAATTACTGTATTTTAATGACTGAGTCAACATGCTACACATTTCCTCTGGGCATCAGAATGCCTATATTTTTCAGTGATATATGAATGTACATGATATGATGTTCTCAAATAAGGAGATAGCTGTTATTAATAGCTTTGAATCCGACAATTCAGTGAATCGGATAATAATGAATGACTTTTAAAATAATGTTCCAGGCTCAAATGCTGAAAGCTGCTAAATGGTTCAATAAATGCCTCTTTTTAAACAGAGATCACAGAAATGAAGGTTCATAGAGCCAATAGTTTGCCATTTGTTTCTGTCCCTGAACAAAATGTAAAATGAGCCATTTTTAAAAGGGACTATTGCAAAACATTCTCAAGGTACAAAGGACTCTTGGTCCCGTCTTTGGCTTACCTTCCATTGGGTCACTTTCGGTGTCTGGATTTCCAAAAGGACCCCCTGGTTTGGTGCTGCATCCGGGGTCACTTCTTGGATTTCAGTGATGTCTCCTTTGGAGTCATGACTGAATGGGAGAGTCTTCTGGTTGGGGAAAATCTGAGAAAAAGGAAAACATTGACTGAGCTTTTCCACTGTCTGGCAATCGGCTCCTAGCCACAATACAAAATACAAAGATGCCATTTGCTATTTATGGAGGGATAGGAAAAGGTGTAAACTCGGGAGGTTCAAGTATAACTTCAAAAAGTTCCTTTTTTGGAATACGATTATCAGAATCCCTGCTGAGCAGGTCGATTAGTCAATCCAAAAAATGACTCTTCCAAATCCTGGATTCAATTTGGAAAAATATTATTTGTCACCATGGTCATTGTACTTTTGTGCATACACACACACCGACACACACATAAACACATAGAGAGAGAGAGGGCTTTTTTTTTTTCATGTCAGGAGAAACTTGAGAAACTGCAGTTTGCTTCTGGTGTGCAAGGACATTGCCCAGGGAACGCCTGGATACTTTACCATCCTGTGAGAGGCTTCACTCATGTCCCTGAGTGAAAAGCTGGAGCTGACAGGCAGGAGCTCACCCTGCTCCCAGATTTAAACCACCAACCTTTTGGTCATATAGAATATACTACTACTAATAATAATATGATATTATAGTTATATATTTATATTACATGTAATATTACTAATCATATTACAATATAATGGTATAGTACAATACAGTAATATATAATATTTTTTTTTTGGTCGTGTCAGGAGTGACTCCTGGTGTGAGAGAATTGGCCGTCTGCAAGGACGTTGCCCAGGGGACGCCTGGATGATTTGATGTTTTTATCATCCTTGTGGGAGGCTTCTCTCATGTCCCCGCATGAGGAGCTGGAGCTGATAGAGGGAGCTCATCCTGCCTCTCCCCGGATTTGAACCTGCGACCTGTCGGTCTTCAGTCCTGCCAGCACAGGGGTTTAACCCACTGCGCCACCAGGGGCTCCTTCTCTTAAAACTGATATTGTACTATGCTAATAATATAATATATTGTATGTATATATATCTTGTAAGCCTTTGGTGTGAGAAGGGTGGCATATAAATATTGTAAATAAATGAATAAATTGGTCAGCAGTCCTGCCAGCACAGGGGTTTAACCCATTCTTATGAGCATCCCAACATACTCACATTTTGACTTATGAGCCATCGCTCAGCCTTTGTTTCAATTTAACCTCTGAGCACCGTTTTTGATAAGCGAGCAGCCTAGAGGGAGCACTCATGACAGACAGCACTCGCATCAGAGACAGCACTCATGTGAGAGGGCGTACCTCAAGTCTCAGTGCCTCTGCCTGCGTGCCTCTGCCTGCATATTTCGAATGTAGCTTCTTGCCACAACTTTGTGCTTCAACCATTTAAAGTAGACTTTTCTTTGTTTATTGTTGCATGTGAATATTCTGGCTTTGCCTTGCACTCCCATGGGCCAACACACATTTTGTTACCTCAGATGTACCTCCTAGCCACAACTTTGTGCTTCTACTATTTTAAAGTTGGTCTTTTTTATGTTCCTTGTGAATGTGTCTTATTTAAAAAGTGTAACAAAAATGGGGTGGGGGGGATGGAACGGATTAATAGTATTTCAGAGCATTTCAGTGGGAAAATTAACTTTGAGATAAGAGCATTTTGAGTTAAGAGCTCAGTCATGGAACAGATTAAATGCTTAACTTAAGATTATTTATTTATTTACAGCTTTTATATTCCGCCCTTCTCACCCCGCAGGGGACTCAGGGCGGATTACAGTGTACACATATATGGCAAACATTCAATGCCAATTTTAACATACAACATATAGACATACACAGAGGCTATTTAACTTTTTCTGGCCGCCAGGGGAGCTGTCGCTTTCATTGTCCATCTGTGACACTGATGAAGTACTTCCGCATTCCCCGCATGCTTTTTTGCTGGAGTCTTTTTTATGGCCTCATAAATTAGTTAATTTAGCCTCCCCACACTTTAAGGTGGTACCTAATTTTCCTACTTGAGAGATGCAACTGTCTTTCGGGTTGCAAAGGTCGACAACAGGCTACACAATTGGTTGGAAACCCACTGGCTTCGAACTCATGACCTTTTGGTCAGATTGATCTTAATGCAGCTGACACTCAGCCAGCTGCGCCACAATCCCGGTATCACTGTATATACATTTTCCATTTTTTCTGACTTTTTCTCACAGGTCAGGCTTAAGCAACCTTGCTATCGTCATTAGAAGGATCCAAAAAGACCATCTAGTCCATCCCTTTTTCTGTGCAAGAATCTAACAGTGAAGGGCCATCTCATCTTTATTCAAAGACATCCAAAGAAGAAGAATCGGCTGACTTTCAAGGTAGGCTGTACATTAAAAGGAATGCCAAAAGCTCTAACAGCAGGATGCCAAAGGAACAATTCCTCCTTGGCCTTCCCAGATTCTCCTCCAGAAGGAATATTTGGGTGTTTTTAGTGGCTAGTTGCTAAAGAACTGGCAGCTGCTGAGTGCCAATTTCAGCCTTTTGTGGCCTCAGGACAAGTCTGGCAGAGGAAAAGGTGGGAAAAACCCTTCGGAGCACCTGATCATGAGTCTAGTAGAACACAAAAATAGGCTCGTTTAATTTTTTGGGAGGGTAAACTGCTATATATTTCAATGACTCTATTACAGAGTTAGAAAAACTCAGTAGAACCAAATGGACTGATGGGAAACAGAAGGGACTTTTGTGCAAAGGATAGCTTGATCTGGAGCAGATGCCATCCAAATCATGGGGAAATCAGAGATTGCAAGGAGGGTTTTCCCAATGGATTGTATCTTTATCTTGGAGACGTTCCAGAGGGAAATTATCTCCAGCCTTTCTTAATGGGTTCTGCAAGAAATTTTGGTTCCAGGTCCTCATTCCCCATCTTCCAGACCCCT